AGCTCCCAACTAACTCACAAATTAATTAAATCAAACTTAATAGAAAAATAACAAAATTTAAGATAAACGTCAGTCAATTTCTGAAACTTTCGGATGCGTGAACTGAACAATTACAAAAATGTTCATCTACAAAACTCTAGAGTCGAGATGTTGAATGTACACATCAATCAGCTAAGCAACAAATGTTATATTTGTATGAAACCTATTAAGGCTCTGTCTTTGATATTGAGCACTTGGATCTTTTCTGTTAATTCACCATAATTAATGTAAAATTCTTCTTCTATGTGCCGTCTCCCTTCAGGACGTAGCCGCTCAAGGCTCTCCGCTTCAGCCTGTCCCTTTTAGCTCTCAATAAGTTTTTATGTTATTTCTCCCAGACTTTCTTGTACCATCCACACTCTTAAGCCTATTATGTTTATCACACGTTGTTTTTCAGTATCCCCATTTCCTCCATCCACCCTTCTGTGTATCTGATTTTCCATGTCTTTTTTTCTCATTACCTGTCCCAGAAATTTTAGTTGCCTCTTCCTTATATTAAGTATAACCTTCCTCTTTGTTTGCATCCTTTTCAAAGTTTTATAATAGGATTTCAGGTGGTAGTGCTGGTTTATTAAAAGGTGGCCTTGTGCCACTTCTTAATAAACCAGCACTGCACGCTACCGGGTCCGCAACAAGATTGGTGACCCCGAGGTGATCATCCTCCGCAATAAGATTGGTGACCGCCCGACGTTCTGATCCTGAGCAATAAGATTGGTGACCTGCCCGACGTGCTCATCCTCCGCAATAGCCTCATCGTTGGTCGCATTTTCGGTCCATGGCATCCTTAGCATTCTTTTATAGAACCATACCTCTATTGCGTTGTCTCTTGTTCATCTTTGAGAAGACCGTCCAACATTCGCTGTCGTAAAGGAGGGCAGATATCATGTAGCAGCTCAGTATTCTTTTCTTTGTTAACAACGAAGCCCTTTTGTCTTGTAATACTTTGCTTAGCTTTTGGAATGGTGTCTTTGCACATTCCATTACATCTTCGGATCTCAGCGTCACACATTCCGTCGTCTGTCAGAAGGCTTCCGAGATACCTACCGCAAATATAAAGTCACCCCTAAGAAATTATAAATTTTAAATCAATGTTTTTTTTTTTAATATTAAACTTTTGGCAATCTTTTGAGATTATTGATTTTAAATCAAAATGTATTTAGTTTCTCGCGCAAAAACTTCAAACCCCGAATGAAAAATTACCAAAAAAAATCAGGAAGTTATGCAAATTTTGTAAGTTTGGATAATATAAAAAAAAAAGTAGAAGAAGAAATCTATTTTTGGTTTGTTTATCGGGGTGAGCGCGAACGTAGACCCCACACTTAGAAATAGCTCTCTCGATTTGCCCACATTTTTAGGGATCGTAAAGTTGGACGCAGTCTGAATGCAATGGGGGTGCCTCGCTCTGGGAGAATTTGGTGTTAATAGTAAATAGAAATTCTTTTATTTTTGGCGTGAATTAATATTTTCGAGTGAATTAATAGAAAAGATCCCACACATTTTATTACAATGACTGCTTCCCTGAAATGTCCTTTCTTTCAGGCTTTTACAGACTGACAACGTTTCTGGCTGTACACTAGCTTTGTTATTGCTATTTCCTTGGCTTGTAAAATCATTTTCATTTGAACACATTTTGTTTTATTTTGAAATCTTTTATTTGCAGCCATTATTTCTACTCAAATATTTTCTTAAAGAAAAATATATAAAATAATTTTTCTCTGTGTATTTGGTATTTTATTAGTCATTTGTTATGGATCATCAGGACGTAGTCGGTAGTGGCTCTTCACAGCGTTCTCTTCTTTCAATATCTGAGTATTACAATGAATTCATTCTCTTCATTTTCTTTTCTTTTTTATCCGTTTTCTTTTCGTTCAAACGTGTTATTCATTCTTTCTTTTTCTTCATTTTTTTGTTCGTCCGTCCTACTCTTTTTTTTATAACTTCATTCTTACATTCAACCGTTTTATTCTGTCTTTTCATTCCTTCCTTCATTTTTCTGCCTTCTCCTTCAGGCAGCTTTTAGACATTTTCTTTCATTTGTTTCTTTTTTTCTTGCTCTTTCTAGATTGTAGGGTTTATCGTTTTTCCTTCATTTTGCTTCTTTTCTTCAACCACTTGATTCTCGTTACTTTCTTTCGCTGATTCTTCATTTCTTTCTTTCTTTCCTTCTTTCTTCCTTTCTTTCACTTTCTAGATTGTAGGTTTTTTTTTCTTTTTTCTTTCATTTCGCTTTTCTTCAACTACATTATTTTTTCTTTCTTTCTTTCTTTCTTTCTTTCTTTCTTTCTTTCTTTCTGCCTATCCTCAATTCTACTTTCTAATGTCTTATCTTAATCTAATGTTTTATCTTAATTCTATTGTCATATCTTAATCTCTCGTTTTTTTTTCTTAAAGGTTTTATCTATTTTTCCTTCTTTCTTTCTTTATTTATATATATATATTTCTTTTATTCTTTCTTTTTTCCCCTGACTTTTCTTTATTTCAATTTTTATAGTAGAGTTCTTATCTATTCTTTCTTTCTTTCTTTCTTTCTTTCATTCTTTCTTTCTTTTTTATGTCTTATCTTAATCTTGTTTTATCTTAATCCTAATGTCATATCTTAATCCCTCGCTTTTTATCTTAAAGTTTTTATCTATTTTTCATTCTTTATTTATTTATATATATTTCTGTCATTCTTTCATTTTTCCCCATGACCTTTCCTTATTTCGCTTTTTATAGTACAGTTCTTATCTTCTTTCTTTCTTTCTTTCTTTCTTTCTTTCTTTCTTTTTTTCTCTTTCTAGCTTGTAGGTTTTATTGTTTTTCTTTCATTTCGCTTTTCTTCAACTACATTATTTTTTCTTTCTTTCTTTCTTTCTTTCTTTCTTTCTATATTTATTTCTACTTTATAATCTCTTATCTTAATCTTATGTTTTATCTTAATTCTATTGTCATATCTTAATCTCTCGTTTTTTTTCTTAAAGGCTTTATCAATTTTTCCTTCTTTCTTTCTTTATTTATATATATATATTTCTTTCATTCTTTCTTTTTTCACTGACCTTTCCTTATTTAAATTTTTATAGTAGAGTTCTTATCTATTCTTCTTTCTTTCTTTCTTTCATTCTTTCTTTCTTTTTTATGTCTTATCTTAATCTTGTTTTATCTTAATCCTAATGTCATATCTTAATCTCTCGCTTTTTATCTTAAAGTTTTTATCTTCTTTTCATTCTTTATTTATTTATATATATTTCTGTCATTTTTTTCATTTTTCCCCATGACCTTTCCTTATTTCGCTTTTTATAATACAGTTCTTATCTTCTTTCTTTCTTTCTTTCTTTTTCTAGCATTTTGGTTTTCATCATTATTCTTTCTTTTCGTTTCCTTTTCTCTTTCGAATTCGCATCTACTCTATTTCTTTCTTTCTTTCGTTCTTTTCCCGCCTATATCTTACCGGTTTTACGCATTTCTTTCTTTCCTACACTTTTCATTGGCTGGCACATTTAATACTTCCATTTACATTCATTCTCTGCCTAAGTCCGACATTTTATAATTTCACGCTCTTTTTTTTTCTACCTCATTTTATTTTGACTGATGAAAGCGAATCATTTTCCAGCCCAAAGAAATTTCGTCGCTACATCTCATTTCCGCCCGAAGTGATAAATTTTACATACCACTATGGCGACCAGCCAATGGCGACCCAATAAACCAGTCCGTAAGGCCTGCGATTACTTTCCGCTTAACCAACATTAAATGTCACTTTTTTTCCGGCAAAACATCAAGCGTGGGTGATAAAGCTTAGCACCCACCACACCACTTGAGTTAATATTCTCTTTTTGTTTTCAGGAAAAACAAAATATTTGACTTTGCAACATCGACACCCATCGGTCAATATTTTTTATGTTACTTTTATTTTCTAGAAATGAGGTTTCCGTTATTGCTTGTTGCTTTGTTTTTTTTTTCTTTTTTCTTAATAGGTTTTATTTTTGTTTTGGCATTTTGTTTTAGGAATAAGACCACCAGTGACCGTTTTATTTGGCTGGCAGGTTTCTGACGAATTTATTCGGTAGCAGTTTTAAAAGTTTTTTTTTTATCTTTTTAATGAAATGGTTTTCCGATTAGATGTATTTTTCATTGGAATTACGAAAACAAAAAGGTCAATTTTTTTTCTTCGCATGCCATCTCTCCTCTAGTTGGAAGTTGTTATCTATTTTCTTTTTAATCATTTCACCCCAAGAAAAGCGATATTGCCACGAGAATGGAAGTGAAAGAGAATAAGACTATTGAAAATGGAGAGGAAAAGCCCCAAATGAACAGGGTTCAAGAAAATAGAGAATAACGTTACATTTAAATCTTTGAATAGTGTAGTTATCAGGAAAGTAACACATCGGAAAGATTTCCAACGGTGGGAAGTGCGAGAAAAGAGACTATTGGAGTAGAAGTGGAGATTGCATTTAGCTAGTTCAATATAAAAAAAGGTGAAATCTAGTTGCCAATCTTGTAGCACGCTTTAATTTATGTAGTTGCGTGACCAGGTTAAAAGAGCTCGTCAGAGCAGTTGCTATGAACATATTTATAGAAAAGACGGGGGGGCGGGAACTATGTCACGTCGGTGATAAATGACTGAAGTCGAGGTGCATGGTCGGTATCAGTTACATTACAGACGCTTCTTTTGTCAAGAATCTCAAGATGTACAGCAGAAACACCAGAACAGATATGGTAACAGAATTCAATGGACGGGCGAATGGTTGATCTATAAACGTGCAAGATCTATCTATCTATCTATCTATCTATCTATCTATCTATCTATCTATCTATCTATCTATGTCTGTATGTATATCTATCTATCTATCTATCTATCTATCTATCTATCTATGTCTGTATGTCTGTCTGCCTGTCTATCTATCTATGTCAGTATGAATATCTATCTATCTATCTATCTATCTATCTATCTATCTATCTATCTATGTTTATATATATCAAGCTAGGGGGTTATCTCTCTAAATTTAATACCTCTTCAGTGAAACGTTTTAAGTTTTAAATAGTTAACTTTAAATCTCTTCAATATCTTTTTATCTCTCTGATGTCTACAATTTAGAACTGACCCCATCTTGAATATGCCTTTATTCTAAATGCCTATAAGATAATAATGTCTTTACAGTTTTCTTCAAACTAATCTCCTGAGCTTTCTTTTTATTCATAAAACGATTCTGCCTTGAAACCTCCAGCCTTCTTGGTCGGTACAAAATGTTCACGAAAGTGGAACAAATTACTCTGTCGGCCTTACCTAGAATATGTCTTCTAGTTCCCATGAAGACGAGAGCCTACCTATCTAATGATTGCATAGAGACTCAAATATAAACGACCAATATTTACATATAACTGAACCAAATTACCGCTTATAGACTAAAATATAAATATATTTACCTATATTTACCTATATTGAGTCTATAAGCAAAAGCAAATGCAATGTATCAAATGTAGAAACAATAGCAAGATAAGCCACTCCATTCTCAATACTCTGTCCGTACCAAACAAAATGATGTAGACAAACACCGTACCCATCAGTGGTTACGTGTTGCACGGTTAAAAGCTGCAAATGAAGTCTTGCTACACAGGGCCAATGCTAGAAATTACCAAGCAAACATACTGAAAAATTGTGATGACCTTAAATACAGATTCTGTGATAAATATCCAGAAACAGTTGATCATCCTGTACTAGGTTCCAGAATGTTAGCACCTATTGAATATAAAACTCGGCTTGACATAGTCGGCCACTATCTGCACTGGAAAATATACCACTTTTACGGGAAGGTAACTGCAAGAAACTTCTATGAACATCAGCCAGACCCGGTTAGAGAGATACAGGTTTTAACAATTTTATGGAACTTTACAATACACGCAGACAAAATAATCAAAGTTAACCACCTATACCTCGTGATCAAAAACCATCAATAGAGAATGTGCTTTCTTATAGACATGGCAGTCCCTGCAGATTGTAATATATCTTTAAATTTCTCAAAAAAAAAAAAATAAAATAAAAAAAAATAACTATCAAAATACAAGTAAATTGAAATAAAAAAAAAAATATGGCACATGAAGACATCAACAATTCCAATTGTAGTTGGAGCCCTCGGATTGATTGGAAAAAGGTTCCGATAGAGTCATTGAAGGAATCCCTAGTAGCCCAAGCCTTAAAGAAATATATCAAAATGTATTCACAAGTACAATTCACCGATTACGAAGGGCTTTATCTATGAAAAATGTGCGTGGTCTTGATTTTTTTTCTAGAGAATCTTCAGGCGAAAATCTCGTGATGCCATTTCAGATCTTAGGTCTCTGTTTGGGACCCGGAAAAAATGAGTATCAGAGATCAAAGGAAATAAAACAATAAAGATAATAATAATAATAATACTTATTTCGATATCAAACGAATCAACAAATGCTGATATATGAACAAAACTAACTCAATGTGTTTGAATAAGAACTATTGATTCATTTCTATAACAAGGCAGACTCTACTGTCATTAACCAAGGACAGTAATTAACATTTAAATAAAATGTTTGTCCAACAAACCACATAGCTTTATTCGTTGATGTGGACACTTAAATTAATTTGTTAATTTAAAAACAATCACTGTATTTATTTGAAAAGTTTTCAAATAAATCGTAATTAAGTGTTGGTTACATAAGACGTACGCTAGACAAAAATGGCAAACCCTATCGTACTGGTCAGAAGACAGACGACCCGAAATGAGTGCGGTTGGTTTGTTGTCCGTGGGAGTGACATTTTAAAAGCGAAGTATTTTTCATTTAAGTTTTTATATAAGACCAAAACACGCGTCAAGATATTGTGTGCGGCTGCAAGAATAGAAGTGTGAAGACGTCTCACCGCTCACAGATTCATTAATGATTAGGTCTTCCTCCAAAAAACAAAACAAAAAAAAAACAAAAGAAAAAACACGCTAATATCACTGACCTTAGAAAAAGAAACCAAAGAAAATAGTGTGCTCTTTGTTTAGCCTAAAGAATTACCGAAGTTTTCGTACCGACTCTGAATTAAATTCACTTACACCCCAACACTGCATTAAAGACGGAGAATTGTCTTTTTACCGAAGTCGGTTTTCCTACCGACTTGGAATTCAATCCAGTTACACTCCAACACTGTATCAAAGACGGAGAATTGTCTTTTTACCGAAGTTGCTTTTCGTGCTGACTCTGAATGTAATACATCAAAATACAAATAACTTAAAATTAAAAAAAAAAAAAAAACAAAAACTATCAAAATATAAGTAACTTGAAATAAAAGAAAAATATTGAAGACACAACAATTCCAATTGTATTTGGAGCCCTCGGATTGATTGGAATCGGTTCCGATACACTCATTGAATGAATCCCTCGTAGCTCAAGCCTTAAAGAAATTCATCAAATTGTATTCAAAATACATTTAATCGTTTACGAAGCGCTTTATCTATGTGAAATATATATGATCTTGGTTCTTCGTCCACAGAATGCTCAATTGAATATCTCATCACCGGCAGACATTTGTCTTTTTTTTATCTTGTGTTATTTTCGAAGAGACAGTAGTTGTAGCGTCATTTCTGGGAGAAAGCGTGGAGAAGAAGATTAGATCGGTAGGAGACATGTCAACGATTGTCTATAATCTCATCACCACGCGCTGGATTTGTCTCATTAAGAGATCTTTATGTGGAAGGTATTTTGCAGATGTTTCCATGTCTTCATGCCGTTTTTTTTTTGTTTTGTATCAACAGTTAAATAAAGAGCCAATCCATCATCGCCAGAGATCCACGCCCACAATTTTTAAACGACCACCTCGTTACACAGTTTGTATCATCAGAGTTCTGACCAGTATTTTGCTATTCTTGACCAGTCTACACATTCTGTAACGGCCGGAAAGCCAGTAATAACATTCAAAGCAACAATACATACTGTCTTTCAATAATCACAGCTAAGATAAATTAGCGAAAAAAGACCAGGTTTAGCGTTCTTGTTTTCCTCAAATCCATGGGTTTGAGCACTAATTGTCCGTCTGGGTAATTTTTGCAATCAGAAGTATAACTCAATATATTCAATATATTTCTTGTGCTGGAATTACTAGTAAGAGGAAAAGAGTCAAACAATTGTGTCCTGATCTCAAAAAAGAAGAGGTATTGAGCAAAATTTAATGAGAAAATTAGCTCAAAGACAAGTGTTGTAATAGAATATCCCACACTTCCTATCGCCTAAGTGGACTGACTATATCAGTGGATATATAGCGTGAGAAAAAGATATATCTGGGGCTTCCTTCAGCAATTAGTTGGAGATTCGGCTCCAGCTAAGCTGGTCGAAGTCTCTGCCTTCGGAACCTAGACGAGGCTATGCCGAAGGGCAGGGTCTAGTCTGGGGTGCTAGACAGCTACCCGACCACGTTTTTACGGGGTCTACGGGGGAATTTTTGCCCAAGCCGACTGGCTCGGTTTCACCTCTCATGATATAATGGCCTTGTGCCACATCCTACCTCGCGTGGGCGGGTGAGGTAAATTAGTTGGCAATTAGTTGGAGATTCGTCCCCAGCTGTGCTGGTCGAACTCTCTGCCGTCGGGCAGAGAGGAAACCAGACGAGGCTATGCCAAAGGGTCGAGTCTCGTCTGGAGTGGTAGACAGCTACCCGACTCCGAGTATACGAGATGTACGGTGATTTTTTCTCCTAGCCTACAGGCTCGGTTTTGCCTCGCATTAAAAAAAGAAACAAAAAAACGCCCTTGTGTCATATCATGTTTCGTGGAAAGTAAGGTAAATAACTTTGCTTTGAGAATTACTAGCTTGCTACCCCATACCCCGTCTTTCAGCATTGTATTCTCATTGACAATAGATGATGTATTGGTTCTTTCATCTACGCGTGTGTTGCTGTTCCTTCACTCAAGTGCCAACGTTTGTCTGTTTCTAACCTGTTTAAGGATACAACAATATTAAATTGCGGCGTACACGTCAAGTCTTCAAGCCTAAAAGAATCTTTCCAAACCTACAAGTCGTCTTATATGTCGGATATAAAATGTAACCCTTTACTACCGACTTGTAAATAAGTGGGAAAGAACTCCTAATAATTACTGTACAGCACGTATCGTACTTCCAGCAGACTACCACAAATATATCCCACTAAAATTTGTGTTTAATCCAACATATTTGGCATATAAACACAGGAATTAATATAGAATACTAAAATACTAAAACAAATTTCAGTTTTCTATAGATAGAGATTGGTTACGTCCGATGGTTTGTTTCATTACAGATTCAAATGATGGATGAGGGAAAATGTGTTTTACAATAGCATGTGATACGTATCAGTACTATCAAAGAACTACCTGATATTATGAGTAATCTCTAGTATTAATATTTTGTAGGAGTTGATGTTGACTTTAATGTGTTTATCAGTAGACCTGACGAATTTTAAATGTTCGTTAAGTTATAACGATAAAATATACGGTATCTACAGGTGTGTTCTTGATGGATGTTTGCGATAAAACGTATACAGAAATATACTACGGTTAGTCTCTAAATATACAGGTAATTGTTGTGACCTTATGCAGTTTTGGCACAGGTTATCGTATACTGTAGCTTAACTTACTGACATACCTAAGTTTTGGTCCACTTGCAGTGTTGGTGCTACTGCCCTAAGTCAGGGTGGACCTGGAAACCCCAGAAATTAAGAGGTGGTTCCATTCTCCTCAAAACCTCCTGATCAGGGGCCTTGCTGTCAAATGTAGTTTATCATCATACATAGGACGTGGATGTAGTTTGTACTCATACCCAGGACGCCTCATAAGGGTGGGGGCGTCTTACCCACCTGCAGAGGTGCAGTCGGCGTATTTTAAAGCCTCAGCCAACAGGGCAAAGAAATTGACGGATAAGTAAGTTTGGTGGTCGATCTATATGGTAGGTTTAGGCCTAACTCAGAAATATGAGCTAAAATCTTGAGTTCGATTTGTAC